GGGATCCTTTGACGCGATCGGCCCATCCGGTCTCCTGGGCAGCAGGCTTCCTGATGCGAACCGCTGAGCCCCCGGAGCGTGAGCGGCCCCTGAGCGAGAGCGGCCCCCGGAGGCAGCCTGCGGCAGTCGGACTCTGGATCGTCCTCTCGAGAGCACCCTGGTTATGCCCGGCCCCCGGGATCCACTCTTGGCCCGGGGTGGAATGGCCGATCCAGACAGCGTGACCATCGGCGGAAAATCCTGGTGGTAGTAACGTCGTTCTTTTCTTCTCTGTCTTACGATGTAAGGCACTTGATATCTCTGCTTACAGGACTTGTCGGCCGTGGGGTGAGGCCCCCCGCAGAGGGCGCACTTCGGTGAACAAACATGTTGGTCGCTTGGGGAATTTACTCCGCAGCCCCTGCAGACCACGTTTTCGGGAGTCGGGCATACGTCGGCTCGGTGACCGAGCCTGCCACATGCGTAGCAGACCTCCGTTTGTCTTCGGTAGAGCGTGCATCTGAGCATACTGAGGCCACACATGACGTGGTTTGGCACTTTGAGACCGTCAAAGAGAATGACGACTGTGGTGGAGTTCTCGATTCTTCTAGCTTCGAGAGCCTTGGCGTTCCTCGGCTGTATGACGAGACTTCTAAGTTGCTCGTGGTCTAATTCCAGGTCAATGTTTCTTATGATCCCCTTGCACGTGTTGTCGGGCACAGCGAGGTAGGAGGTGACCTCGTAAATTGCTGAGCCAATGGAGATGGCTTCAACCCCCGCATAGGTCTTGGCGTTGTGTTCTGAGGGTGTGCTGACCACCAAAATGTTCTGCATGGCGCTGGGGCAGTAGAGGGTTTTGAGGGAGTAGCTTGCCATTTTTCCTAACCTGCAACAGGGTAGAGTTACTGAATTTTTAACATGAAAAGTTCTCTGGCTTTGTCTTCAGCATTTTGTAAAGCCCAGATAAAAGCGTGGCCGCGATGCTGGACACTGATTGGGTAACGGGTGGAAGAGGAGGAGTGAGGTGACCGATGCTTATTGATTAAAAGGGAGATCAATTGACCAGAGGGGTAGGCGAGGAGGAGCTAGACCACCTGTGCGCACTGAGAGAGAGGCGCTCGAGAATATGAAAGGCTCTGGAAGATCGCCAGGTTTATCAGCCCCTTGTATCGCTTCTTTCTAGAAAAAACTGTCAAGTGTACACATGATACGCGTTAAACCATAGCCTCTTCTATACTCACAAAGCCTGGCAGTTCGACGACGGAGCCTGGAGTACCCGGTCGCAGATTTGGAGCCTGAGGATCTGGTAGCACAGAGCATTTCTCGGTGAGTTTGTAGTCAGCACACAGCTCTTGCAGCGGCGAGGACCCGAAACATGGTTTTCAAACCCGACGAAAAAAGGAGCGGTAGCCCGAGGAACGCGAGAAGCACGAGCGGAAACTTTATCGCGTGAGACAAATCTGTTTCGGCGTCTCGCCGCAGCAGGGCGCCCGTTACATACGTCTTGTCTGCCGCTCTGCCTTTTCACATTCGGCGGCCGCGTTTCGTGGCGATATGCCAGGCTTTGTCAGTATAGAGGGGGCTATGGTTAAACTATCTGCAGAGCCGTTTATTGGGAGAGTTTGGCCATGTATCGGTTTGAATAGGCGAGCATCTCGGGACCAACCACAGGCCTCGAAACAGCCCCTAGCGGAGGTCGTGAGCTCTACATATTTGACACGACTAATTCAAGCCATTTTAGCGTCGCTAGAGTGATAAGGTTTAGCTCTCGGTGACTGAAAACTTTGGGCATGTGAGGTGTTCGTCACACCAATATTCAAGTGTAGAATAAACGAACGTGCGCTCCAAACCAGGGCCGACTTGCTAGAAACAGCGTCTCAGCTGAGACGGGGAAAGAAAGCACTGCCATAGCCAGCACACGAGCCGAGCGGGACTCCGCGTCTCAAAACGCTCGCGCGCCCCATCCTTTGCACTGTTTTCTTTCAGCCAGTCTCAGCTTAGACGCTGTTCTAGCAAGCCGGCCCAGAGCAAAGTTTCAGGGATACTCCATCTGCACAAACATCAGCAGTGCAGGCAAAGGCATGGGCACGAGCGCGTGGCTTTGGAAAGTGCCTCCTATGCACGAGTTCTCGTATACAAACAAAACCATTTCGCTGAGCTAGGCTCACGCGCCTGTGCCTTTGTTATACTGTTTTAAATGCCGTTTGCAATATTGTGATGTTGCGGTCTCCTGATTGGTCGACGCTGTGTCTTACCTTTAGTTTACGCTCTAACCGTGGTGGAGTTTTCGGCGCTGTCGGCGGCCTTTGCTCCACCCATTTTCCAAACTCTCCTAATATTCGCGACTCCAGCAAAATGAACGGCACCTGGCGGGAAAACACTGAACTGGCCGGAACAGGTCCCTTCGCGATTTCTGCTCGTCTCTTCTGGCTTCCGTGATTGCAACTTGTCGGTGGTTTGCGGGACAAAACAGTTCTACCGGTGACTGTGCCGTAACCGTAGTATTGTCTTGTGACCCAGGTTGCTCTGCACGCGACCTATGTAACCACGTGAGCCAGACATTCCGCGTTTATTAAGGTTCATCAGCACAGTGGAAGGACAGTGGGCAGTTCTTTCCACGAAGAAAGTCAAGCCTTTGGACGTTCGCTTACCCAAACACATCGCCGCAGGTTCGAAACGTGGAAGATAAAACGCGGGGGAACCAATTTTGAGTCGAATGCTTACTTGCTGGTGCCCCAGCGTTGTGCGTTGAGCTGGCCCATGGCACGGCACGACCTGGATTTGACCGCCATATTTGCTCGATAGTGAAGTCCCCTATAGGTCGCTGGAGTCGCGAATACGGCTCTGACTATCTGATGAAGAGTGCCATGGACGTTGGCGTCAGGAAACTCAGAGTATCGCTAAACGTTTGTTATGTTAGAACGTTCCACTTATGTAGCTATGTTCCATAAATTTTATACTAATTTTAGAAGTGCTCGATTACTGAAGTTGTGATCTATATTAGTAGCTGAAATATGTGTAATTAGTTATTCTACAATCCTTACTCGGTGGTACTAAAAAAAAGAAAGTAAGGTACGCAGTGGCGCTTATAGTCCAATATATAAACGTTCCATGTGTAGTGGTTTGGAGTTCTAGCGATGATCGAAGAGGTGAAGACGAGTTCGTCCCAAGTCTCTTCATGCAGTTCCGCAGAACCTCAATGAGTCAAATAAGTGAGACCACGAGCCGGGCAGTGGCCAACGGTATTATTAATGTACTTTATTGCTTTCCTTCTGTCGCCGTTACAGCAGGACACATTTCTCTTTAGGAGCATACTGCCATGCACTCGAAACGTGCACTCACGCGGAGAGTTTTTGAAAGACGCTATTTACAAGGAAAATGAAAGGCCAGGGAAAAACAAAGCCACGCTGTCGGGATTCAAAGCAGATGAGAGTAGGATGGGAGGAAGTGAGATTTGTCGATGGAGGGTGTTAACGATTGGAACTGCAGCAAATACTTTACTGGGAGAATACGTTCCACTCCGGTCATTTGCATTAAACAACGCTCCTAAGGCGCCAAATCCTTCCCTGGCGGTGGGGACACCCCACGTCCGAGAGAACACATGCGTATCGCGTTGTCCACGCTGTCGCGCTTTCGCACTGCGCCGAGGAAGAAGGTTGCCACCGACGGCTCTCTCCGCTGTCCTGAAGGATGTCCACGGCGATGGATGGCGGCCGCCACCCTTCAAATTAAACGGGGAAACTCCCGAGGCTGAGCGCGTCCTGCCGTTTCAGCTACGCAAGAGCTGTCGGTGCCAAGGTCATTTGCTTCTTGCTTTGTGAAGTGTATTCTCTAGCAAAGAATTTGATTGCAGCGTCAGACTAGAGACTCGTATACTTCCTGAGTATTAGAGTGAGGGGAGAGGGGAGGGAGGTTGACCTCCATGATAGCATGCCTCCAGCGATCAGTTCTAGTTTTAGGCGTCTGCACCACGCCTGTTGTTGGTGTTACTGTACTTTCTTTTTCTTTTTTTTTTCAGCGGTGCAGTGTTTGATGGTGGCTTGTGGTTAATTTACCGAGCACCTGCCTCACACTGGCCGCAAGAATTGGGCTTTTTTTTTTCAATAGCCGCAGAGGCTACCGATGATGTATTTTAGACAGCTATCAATGTATTAGAATAAAAATATACCGTAAACAAAGATAAATATATCTATTATTTTAATACAAATAGTAATTAAGTATACCCAAGGACCTTTTTGATTTCAGTTTTACCTATGTGTATGCGCTTTTCACTCAACCAGTGAGGAATGCGACAATGTCTAAAATGTGGTCCCGATTCGTCTTGAAGGACGGGGATCCACAAACGTTGTAAACAGGCGCCAAATATTTGAAGAAATGTATGATCTATGAATCACTGCATATGGGGTGTCAGAATACGTCCATATTATTTTGCACAACGCGTATTCGCACACCCTATTGACGTAAACGTCTCGCTCGTGGAGCCTGCAGTGGAGGACAGTTCATGAGCTTCAAACGTCGCTACGCGTGAAAACGTTTGCCAGTATGGTACAGTCGAATTAAATGGCGTCATGCGGATGAAAGCTACCCAAAGCCCTAGGTACGCCATCAGCCTCGTGTTTTGCTAGGCAAAGAGATGTCACACTCACGCTGATGCTGATGGCGCCGCTGGTTCCGTCGCTTGTTCGCTTCCACGCTGCATCAGAAACCAACGTTTGCAGACGCGAACATTTGAGCGAATCAGAAGGACCAACATAGCTTCCCACGCCACGACATACCATAGAAACCTGTCCAAGGTTATTCTTTTGTTTTTTCATAACGTCGCCGCTAGGCCTAACTAGGCCTGAGACAGCAAGCAGAAAGTTAGGCCCAGCTTGGCCTATCTAGGCTTACTTAGACTTACCCAGTCTCTACAAGGCCAAAATGGGCCTAATTTTCTTTGTCTCGAAAAAACAAAACAACAACAAAGGGGAGGAGAGAGGACATGGGATGTGGCGCCGTCGTCGTCGTCATTGTCGTTGTCTTCAGCCCGTGAAAGGAACACCGCCGGCTCCCGGCAGTCCTCCGAAACCTCCCGGAGCGAATCCCGCGGTTCCAGCCGCGGCTCCTCCGAACCCTGCGCCTCCTGCGCCGAAGCTCGGTGTACCGGTGCCGAACCCTGGGGCGCCAGCGCCGAAACTGGGGGCTCCCGGTACGAAGCCTGCGCTGCCCCCGGGGTATCCTCCGTGTGCTCCGACGGCGCCAGCGCCGAACCCTGGTGCTCCGAATCCTCCGTAAGCACCGACGCCCGGATGCAGCGCCGTGGGTCCTCCAAGAGCGCCACCGTAGGCGCCCGGATAGCCCGCACCCGCGTAGAACCTGTGAGGTTTCAGTCAAGGCGCCATTTTGTACAGCAAGGTCGTGTTGATGGAATTTGTGATCATCTAGGCATCCACGCAATCGAAACCTGAGGAGAACAAACGACTTTAAAAAGATTAGGCCGATTTTGGTGGTCCTTGCGCATGAAATATTACTTGTTGCGTAAACTTAGTGGCTGCCCCCGCACAAGTTCACTGCGTTTAATGGACCGGAGTGCGGATAGTGGACCTTTCGCTGTTTTGGGGGGAAAAATATGCAGACTTTTTCTGGTTTAGTGTATTGTGTAAGCATTGAGGATCACCATATTGTCATGAAGCCTTGCGGTCTGACGGTTGGATCTTACAGCATTACGATCTTACAGCATTACTTCTCAGTAAAAACCGGATTTGTGACTGCGGCTCAACGAACGAGCGAGTGGTGTTTCGAAATATTATAGCGTCACACGCAACTACCGAAGCATAACGTTGCAGCTTAAGGTTATAGTGATAGTGTGTCGGCTCATGAAGCCGACACACTATCACAGCAAATCGTGCTGCCACTGTATGCAACCCAATCGGCACACTAAGAAACAGCGCTTGACGCATCATGAAATATCATCTAGCTGGAACTGGGACAGACACGGACCGAGCTCAAGTGGGAGGGAAGAGACACAACACATACAATTTATTGAGGCAGTGGCGATTCTTTTATCACATATCTTTACTGTCTCATAGTTTGCACGACCGAGCCACATGCTATGACCGACGGTCTTACTTCAGCTAGGGTCAGAACTTTGATGCTTTTATTTAGTTAGTTCCGTTTATATATTTCACCTATTTCCTGCTTTTACAGCCTGTAGCATACTTCCTAGCACTACAAAGAAGATATTATGTGACAAAACGGGAACTGTGTATTCGACAAAGCTAGCAGCTTGCATCCGCGTGTAAACTTGACTCAAAACCGCTCCACACCACCTGTACGGAAAGACGTGTCTCTCTTTTTCCCTGTAGGAGACCGATACGACAGCCCTTATCAGCCGAGCCATCGAGCTGCGATGCGTAAGGACCAATAAAAATATTCTGGCGCACGGAGAGGGTGACGTTACCACCGGAACATATTACGATGGACATGGAGTGACTATGGAGTCTCAATTCCATTGAATATAGATAGTTTTCTTATACATTTTTGTTCAATAAACATGCAATAACAAGTTGCGATCTAGCGTAAATAGATTCTTATTCAATTCTATCTGTGATGGTATGTTTATGACACACTGACACGATTCGTTACGCTTCGAAAGCACTGATATTTATAGAGAGTCATTACACGACATGAAATCTGGTAAACTTTTTGTTTAAAGCTGTCTCTTTTTATCTTCTTTTTCATTTGATCACAAGTAAATTTTTTGAATGAATATGTCATCATGCTGGGGAGGAGTTTGAAACACGTTCCTGGATAGATAACTATAATGAGATTTCAAGGAACAAACTATCTGGTTACCTCATAATAAGACATACATAAAACAATAGGCGATATACCACAATGAAACGAGTGACTGCATCCTTACTCGTGTCTCGCTATGCGTGCGATTATACATATTAAGACTCAGTGCCATCTGGTAAATAAAATATCCGTTTAACTTTTGCCGTGCTATAGGCATAATGAGCATGTAGTATTTCATCGGGCACGGTCACTATTGCAATGGTTTCTTCATTAAGCAGTTTTTCTGAGTCTCATTCAGCTTTGACTGTGACAAAGATACCTCCAGTCAGGACGAGTGAGGACGAAACGCCCGCACGCACTTCTAAAAATTTAGATATCAAATGGCATTAGTGCGGACCATGTGCCAACAGACCAATTAGGTCCAAGTTAAAAATGAACGCTTACACAGTTCTTTTATTCAATTTGTGCATCGCATTGCGCTAAAGTCTGGGATATAATAGGACTCGCATCATCCGCCTTGCTTGCATCTTTTAATTTCTCATTCATCAGTCAGCAAAAGGCCACCATTAGTATGATATAGCTGTCATTGCAAAAACACCTGCCTTACTTCGACGACCTCCCCCCTCCCTCCTTCCTCCTTCCCCAGACGTCCTACCTCTGGTGATGATAGTGATCAAAGTGACCAGACTGAATTTTGGAAAAAAAAGCATCTTAATCTGAACAAAGAAAACGTACGGAATGGCTTGGGAAGCGAGCCCGTAGGGCCCGGCGTGGTCTCCGTGCGCCATGGACTGCTGGGCGTTGTTCTGTCCTCCTTCAGATCCCCCGTTGCCCCCTCGGAAGCGGCGCATGATGGCTGCCGTGGCCATGAGACCCAGCAGACCCTGCTGCTGAGACGGCAGTGCCATCAACAGCAGGCAGCCGAGGGACGCCAGGAACAGCTGCCTTGGATTCATGGTGCTGCCCGGAAAAGAGGAAAAGGGTTGTTGACCTTGCTTTACGGGGACGGGTTCAATGCTCTGGACTAGTGTTTGCGCTTGTCCGCAACTATAGTCGGTGGCAGGTTAAAAACTCAGCAGATGCTCCACTTCGAGAGTGAGCTTTCTGCCTTTGATACCGTTTCGTCGCACGCGCGTCCAAAGCCCGATGGAGGGCAATGAGTTCGTGCTGGGGGCGGAGCTTCCACTCGGTCCTTAACCCGTTACCGACTATAAGGTTTATTTCTCTGAATATTCCTTGTAAATACGCACGTGGAGGTTCAAAGAGTACGACTAACAGTGCAGAAAAAGCTGGCGCGGCTAATTAGTACAATAAACATGGGGTGACCAGGGACTGCAGAGACAGAGTAGTTATATTGTTATCGGTCAAAAAGAGAACAAGGCGGTTTTTCTTAGACTGACAATTTCTCTGACGCGCTCTGTTTGGCATCTACGTTTAAATATATCTTTATGATAGAAAAATACGTTTGGTCGGTGGGAAGTCGGTGTTGATAATCCAGTTGGGGAGATTGCCGTATTGATGAGAGTTGAAAGTAGCAGGGCCATTTGCGAAGGGGGGCACATAATATTTACCGCTGTGAGGCTTGCCAAAGTGGACAGTTGGATTCTGTTTCTTCGCTCATACTGGCTGAATTTATATAAAACGATTCCTTCTTTCTGGCTGTAGAACCCAACAACGCAGTCCCACGGGAACTTATTTGTTTTCTGGACGCTCACTTTGTACATCTTGCGGTAATTACATGCCAAATAGTTTTGAGTTGCACTGACCTGAGCACAATTTAGAAATAAGATTCTTTCAGTTTAGAATTTAATCTTAAGCTACAATGACGCGATTTGCCATTGAAAGTGTCTCTAACGACAAGCAGAGCAGAGGAGCCTTATGTTACTGAATCTAGGTCACGCCCATAACAGAGCGTCCACTGGAAATCTGAATAACTTTTATGCTAAGAATGATAATTCGCGAGGTCGCACGTTAAAACTAACACAAAAAAGCACAACTCTTACAAACGTGCAAAAGCCATGTTGTCTAAACGTCACTATAAAATCACCGAAGCTTTCGATGCATTTTGACCTGACTCCTACTGAACGGAGTAACGTGTTTTCTCCCACCATTCGCGATATCGAACTGAGCAGATATCCACAAAATGGGCACGTTTCTAGTCCATGCGTACGAGCCGAGCATCAAACTCGGTTCCGCCAACGGCCTTGACCCTGGGAAAAGCCTGAACACCGCTAACCGTGTTGTGGGACTGAGGACGTGTCACCGGGACGACGCGGAGTGCGATAAATACTAAGGCCGCCGCGGTTATCCGTGTGCGCGTCGCCGAGCTACAGCACATCAGTCCGTCGGGATTGGAGCGCATGAGTCGAAACCGAAATCCATCGCCGGCGTCGACCGTGGGTCGGGACACGTCAAGGTGGGGTGTGAAAGGGACGGGGCCGAGCTCTTCGGAAGGGTGGTGGTGCGCGTCGCCGAGCGGGCGCTAGCACCGTCGACGGACTCACCGGGCGTTGCTCGCTGACGGTCCTTTTTCAATGTAGGTCTGGGCCAACGCGGCGCGGCGCCTTATATACTAACCTGCATTGGCCGTGCTGCGGCGCAGGAGACGGTCTGGTTTTGCGAGTGATTCTTTCCCTCTGCCGCTGCAGGCTGCCGCTGCTTCCATAACGGGGAAAGAGCGTCGGCGTTTTTCCTTTCCAAGTTCACTGGCCTCGATCGGCAAATAAATACACGACGCTGCTGAAGCCGCCGCCGCTGCTCCGCCTCAGCCCGGCTTGCTCGACGGGCCAGCGGCTGGTTCGTACGCCGAGTGCGTGCGCCCCTGGTTCGACGCGGAGTCCGTCGGAGCCCCCAGGTGGTGCTGGTAGCGATAGCCGATTGGACATTGCTCGCCTGTCCAAACGCGGAGATTTGTTCGACTAGATGGTATCCACGTTGCTTGCTCCTAGGTCCCTTCGAAGGAAGAAAATTCTCTTTCTGTGAAAAGAAAAATGACAAGAGAGAAAACAGAAGCGAGGAAGGGCAAAGGTGCGCGGCAGCCTGGTGTAAATCAGGGGTCCTGGGAACGCTAAGGGTTATCACCGAAGCGGCATGCCCTTGGTTGCCTTTCGCTTGCGTCGCCGGTTGCTCCAAGATATTTCTTTCGTTTTTGCTTTCTTTTCGTGCTCCAGTTTTGGACGTGCCCACCGAGTTCGTTGGGTTCGCCGTGAGCCCGCGGGACATCCTGGCTGGGTTGCGTTTTTTATTGTTTGTTTGTTTGGTTTGAGAAGACGACTCAACAGAGCCGTTGGGCTGACTCGCTCTTTTTGGAAGTTTAGAAATTAGTACACCGAAATGCCGGTGCAACAACGACGTTCTGCAAGGTTCTTTTTTAAATGTTTTATTGGTGTCTTTTTTTTTTTAGATGTTTCGTGTCCTGAAACATGCGTTGGTATTATTACACATTAAGACGCTGCTTCTAAAAGCAAGGAAAAAAAAACGCTGTATAGTTTAGCTCTCCGCACTACCGATGCTTTAGTTAACGTCGCGGTCAAACTGCTAAAACATCGTACAAAAGAAAGTCCGAATACACTGTCTGGGGCACGCTCTCTTTTTCCTCGCGTGACGTTCCTGACACATTGATCGTGCAAACAAATTCTGCAGACATGTTCTAAGCATACATACGTACGAAGAAAACCAGCTTAATTCGAACGTACTCGAGGCGTGCCCGCAGATAAATATGTCATCGCGTCCGCTAAGAAACTCCGCGTCTTTTTGCACGATCTCCGAACAGTGTGACTGGGGCTGGAGTCCAATGAGCGGTCAGAGGCTAGAAGACGCGTATGCATACAGACTGAAATCGAGAAGTCTCGGCGGCGTATACTGTATGCACTCGACCGAACGATCCGTCGGATGAGCAGACGCAGAGAAACGCCGAGCGCCGTTGCGTTGCGCTTGGATAGCGCCGCATTGATTGGCTGCATCGGCTCGTAGCGGGTCGGCTGCGCTGGGACCAAAGATAAAACGAAATGCTCCCTGAAAAGCGCGCTGTAACGTGTGCGGTGAACGGATCGTTTTACCGTTTGAATAAGCGTGGTTGGCACCTGGGTGGTTGAAATTGACAAAAGGCGTAACCTGGGTGGTTCCCTTTCTCAATTTCTATTTCGCAGTATTTCTTCACATAAAGAAATTTAATTAGACTAGTGGCGTCAATTATATATATATATATATATATAGAGAGAGAGAGAGAGAGAGAGAAAGAGAGAGAGATATCTGCAAGAAAAATACACGCTTATTGCACGTGTATTTTTCTTGCAGATATCTGCACACAGTCGAAGAGAAGATGCTAAATGCACATAAAATTTCGCTATTTCTTCTAACCATGAACATAAGAGGGCACTCTTCGCAAAATATTTCTTCGGCTGGTTCGTAGCTTTCATTCTGATCTCGATAGACTATTTATAGCGTGTGCAATAACACTTTGGGGTCTATGATAGGTGAACATATTATTTCATTTACTGACAAAAAACCGTACTCTGCAAAGCGCCGGATTTTTTACCGTTCTTTTTCTTCTTTTGCGTTTCACTATCTCAGGTTATGAAGTTTTACTGCCTGCTATCGTAACTCACCTCTGTATACGTATATATGTTGGTAATTTCAGACTTGCCATTAAGGGCGCCCCTTGCTGTTTCTTTCCAACTTTATTTTATTGAAACACGTTCTTTGCCCATTAAACCATGGATACCAAATACAATACTGCGGAGATAAACACAGCATTTCTACGTTTTTGTTTTGTATTAAGATCCAACGGGAGAGGTCTAAAAGCGGCCTCATTCTTAAAATATCTCCCAGCGCATATTACGCATGAATCCGTCTCAAAAATATTACAACCTTGCGCAGCGTGTTCGAACGAAGTCCGAGCGCCAACCTATCCCGCACTGCACGCTTTATAAACAATCATGATGAGGTATGGATGCATCGAAGGAGCCTATCGAATGATGAAACAGCGACGACGTTCTCACGCTAAAATGCCATCTACGCTGAGCGTGGTGCTTCACGTGCGTAGAATAGCGCGGATCTTCCGGAACGAACGCTTTCATGGCCTGGTCATTACACAATCCTTCCGCATTGATGGGTAACAAGCGTGTTCTGGTAACACCAGCTACACTCGTATTCCCCTCCAAAACCGTAATAAAACTTAAAAAAAACTAAAAAAAACCAACATCCGACTGTTTGTTGAATGAAGAATATATTTGAACAGCACGTGTTTGATAGAGTTTTCCAGCAAGCACGACGAAAGTCGATGGATGCCGTAGTCGAGCCTTTCTGTAGCTATTCGTAGACGTACTGCATAGGTCAGTGCTCAAAACTAAAACCGGCCGTGCTTAAAAGAAAAAGGACTTTCAGTTTGCCTTTATTGTAGCTTGCACCGCTATTCTTTGTTGCCCACACCGTTGGGGAGAATCTGCGGCAGCGAATTAAGCATGTTCCTGCGCGACTGCGCTCGTTGCACGACAGTGCACAGAGAAAAGCACGTTTTGCGCATTGTTTATAGGCTGCTCCCAATAGTTCCTACAAGATTTGGTCGCCGGGTGAAGAAACAATGCCGTTGGTGTTTGGAACGTGCACCTCTTAGTAAAGTAGCACCTAACTAGCCTAAAATGCACCTATATGTATACCTTAATTCACCGCACAAAGAAGGCAAAGCAGCAACGCTCCACGATTAACCCGATGTATATATATTTTTTTTAATAGGGCTCTAAGGTGTAAACAAGTAAAGTTTTACTTGCCGGTTTCACAGGCCGCGTGGTGTGTTTTGCGAGTGGCCTCTCATTTTATTCTATACAATTTTAAATAAAAATATAACAAAAGATAGAAAAGGCGTAAAAAACACTTTGACTGCATATTAGAATGCCTAGGTTTTGCTATTTATATAACAAGACATAAGATATCATAGTATCGAAACATTAAAGAAAAC